GCAAAAGATAAAATATACAAGAACAAAACAAGGAGAGATAAAAATAATGACGAACCTAAGCTACCAAAAAGGAATAAACACCCAGCGTTCCAGATTATTCGATCTGTAGATGAATTCAAATATATCAACAGAATTGATGAAGGAGTTTTTGGAGTTATCCATTCAGCCAAGGACAAACGGACAGGAGAACTTGTTGCTCTCAAACAGCTTAAGAAAATCAATGAAAGGGAAGGATACTCCAACGCCGCTCGGAGAGAGCTTGGGATATTGTTGAAAATGCAGCATCCTAATGTCGTCGCAGGCCGAGGAATAGCGTCGAGTTCTAGAAGCGACCATGTATTTATAGTCATGGAGCTCATTGAATACGACTTAAAAACGTTCCTGCAAACAATGCATACCAACAGGCAAATGTTTTCAGTACAACACGTGAAATGCCTAATGACGCAATTGCTAAGCGCTGTACAACACCTACACAGCCACCACGTGATACATCGCGATCTAAAAACCAGTAACATCTTGTTGACCGATGAAGGTGTACTAAAAGTGGCAGATTTCGGGAAGGCCCGAGAATTTGAATTCCCTCCTCGGCAATATACGCCGGCTATAGTTACGCGCTGGTACCGTGCGCCTGAACTACTGCTGCTTTTAAAGGAATACTCTGCTCCTGTAGACATGTGGAGTGTTGGATGTATATTTGCTGAATTAATTACTTTGCGGCCACTTTTTCCCGGCACAACTGAGTTGGATCAGATAACCAAAATATTCATGGATTTGGGGACGCCTTCAGATACAATTTGGCCCGGTTACAGCGCTTTACCAATGGTGACTAACATCATGTTCGATGACTATCCCCCGGGCGGGTTGCGGAAAAAGATAAGTCGCAAGCTGCTGTCTGAAGACGGGCTATCTTTACTGCAAGGTCTTTTAACCTATGATCCTGCAAGAAGAACAACAGCAGCCGCTGCTTTAGAGCACGCATACTTCAAGGAGCAGCCGGTGGCGATGGAGCCGGCCAAGTTCCTGACGACCCCCGTTTGCTGAGCTGTCACACACGGGTGAGGCTCTGAGCTCTGACTAAAGTTCTACCATCAGCGCATCGGACCACGCTGAACTAGTTAGGTAATAAAACATCAACATATTCTTTAGGAAATATTGCGAATTTGCCAATGTATGTAAATGTAATTAAGAGTTTTTTAATATAAAATGTCAATAATCATATTGTGTACTTAATTTTGTAAATAATAAATGTTATTCCTGTAATGTAGTAATGCGTATGTGATATATAAATGTATTTGTTGCCAATTGTTGTAATAACACCTCTGTAAATGTGAAATTAGTATGAAATAAAAAAAACTGTAATAATTTCAATTATGTTGTTTAATTGTTCCATTCTATAAATTTTAAAAACGTAAAGGTCTTTTTCGATCAGATTTTTAATATAGCAAAGTACATATTTAATAAATTATTATCCGGAGAAAAACAGTTCATCGAAATAATATATTAAATCCTATTTTTTTAAGTAAAAACTCTATGACAGACTTCTTAGGTTATTTATTGGAATCTCATATTTTTGTTCTATTCCTAGGTGCCTTCTTTTACGTCTGTAAGTTTTTTTCTTCTATAATAAAGTCTAACATTCTTTTATTAATTTGTAGTAAGTTTATTTAATTTCCCTAGTCTCTGCCTACCCCCATGGGAGACAGACGTGAAGTTATGTATGTACGTATGTAACTTTATTTTAGTTTATAATGTTCGTGCCTTTACAAGTACAGTATTTTTTATGGGATAAGCCAGTTAACGAGCTGATGAATCAACTGATGGTAAGCAATCGGCACGCCCATTACACCTGAAACACCAGTGGCCCTTTTCTTTTAAGGCGGGAATATCATCACTGACTTCTCCCGCCTGATGCGGGAGGGAGTGTCAGACTCTTACTGACTGAAAACTACCCCGTTCCTACTCCTGTACTTAGAGCCGGAGCCCCGGTAACCCGTTAGGTTCTCCGCGACTCCGTATCGGCATCAGCCAAATTAGCCCCATCCGTGGTTTGATGGCTCTTTGAGGCGCGCGCGGAACGCGAGGCGCCGTACGATCAGGTCTGGTTCTGGTAGGGCGGCAAGCCACTCATGCTCCCGCGATCCCCTACGCCCGGAGTGTCCTTCGCGACGGCTCGGTTGTGAGGAGGCAGCGCTTCGGTACCTCATGCGCCCCACCTCCTCCTTAGCTAGCACGACTGCTTTGCAAAAGGAGGAGGCATCCCAATCTCCCTCACTCCGCATCATTCCCGGCCCGCACTCAGGCCGGACGCGAGAGGTCGCCGTCGCCGATCACGTCCCTGTGGGCATGGCGGTGCTGAGCCCACGCCGGGCAATCTCCTACTATGTGTTCCACGGCGTCCTCAGGGCGGCCCTCGCAGTGATGTCACAACAACAACACGATGTTTCTTACCATTGGTAATGCGTTGTAACCGGGCCAAATCGTGTCTGAAGGCGTCTCCAGATACACAAATATTTTGATTACCTGATCAGACTCACATATGCGGGGAAACAGTGGCCGCAAGGTTATTAGTTCAGCGAATATACATCCCACACTCCACATGTCGACAGGGGCGGAGTATTCTTTCGAAAGCAGCAGTAGTTCAGGCGTAAGATACTATCGCGTAACTACGTCCGGCGTATATTGCCGAGGAGAGAATTCTATTCTCGGGCCATCCCAAAATCTGTCACTTTTAATACACCTTCATCGGTCAACAAGATGTTACTGGTTTTTAGATCGCGATGTATCACGTGATGGTTGTGTAGATGTTGTACAGCGCTTAGCAGTTGCAGCATTAGACATTTCACGTGATCGACTGAAACCATTTGCTTGTTGCTTTGCATTGTCTGCATAACTTTAAACACTATATGACTATAAACACGTGCTCGTTTCTGGAACTCGACGCTATTCCGCGGCCTGCGACGATATTGGGATGCTGCATCTTCAGAAGTATTCCAAGTTCTCTCCGAGCGGCGATGAAGAATCCTTCCTTTTCGTTGATTTTTTTAAGTTGTTTGAGGGCTACCATTTCACCCGTCCGTCTGTCCTTGGCTTCATGGAGAGTGCCTTTTTTAAACCACATTTATCCTTTTGTGATTTCCGAAGTGGAATTCCAACTGACATAGTCAAATTGTTTACAGAAACTATGGTTTAGAAGTACTTAACAATCACTTCACAATGTAGACACCGTATGCATTCTAAACAGTAAATGTGTATGTCCTTGAAGATCCTCCCTTATAGTCCGTAGGCCCTGAACATTTCTTTTGTTACCTAAGCTGGTCTCTACCAATATTAGCAATACTTGTCAAATGATCAGATAAGGATCGCATTACAATAGGTCATTAACAAATACCAAGAACTAATCCTTTACAACGTGGTAATTAAGACACTAAAAATATTTTTCCCACGCATCTGAAAAGACTTTGTTGCACTGTCAAAGCTGTTTTTATTTTCTTAGAATTTTTTTTTGTTGAAACTTATGTTATAATTAAAAAATCTTTTGGCTCAAAAATATTTCCTCATTTAAGTTGTTTGATTAATATAGATAGCGTTGACGTAAGAAAAGTTGCATAAGGACTCGTATCGACATAGGAAAAAGTTAAATAAATAAATGAAGTTCAATTTATTTACAAACTACGATTAGAAAACCGCGTCGTCAACTCACCGTCCCCTATTTTAGCGTCGGAATCGCATGCACACCGGACACACCGGGCGTCGGGGATCGCGGGACAATCTCCAGCCACCGTAAGTGCGGGCCTGGGGACAGCGAGCATGGGTGGCTCCGACCAGAAACAGACCCGTGCGTACGGCGCGCGCGCCTCAAAGAGCCATCAAACCACCACGGATGGGCCCAACAGGGCCTATGCCGATTCGGAGTTGCGGAGAAACGAGGTTACCGGGGCTCCGGCTCGACGTGCAGGAGAAGGAACGGCGTGGTTTTTAGTCTGTAAGAGTCTGACACGCCCTCCTGCCTCACCTAGACGAGAGCAGTCATTCGATGATTTTCCCCCCTTAACACGTTAAACGCCATGGGGACACCGGTGACCGGCGTTAGCGAAGGATTTACCTTTAACAGTTTTTTATTGGCAGTCAAAGTCATAAACAAAAATCTTTTAAAAATATTTTATTTCGAAGTCGGTCAATCGATATACTAAAACTTTCTGCTGAATATCAAACTGAGAACTTCTTTTTTTGAAGTCGATTAAAAACTAGACAAAGGCATTTTGTCAATTAATATTAAATTACATATTTTAAAGCTAAGTTCTCGTTCCAAAGTATAGATTCGGATGGAAAAGAAAGAGGCATAGAACTAGCCTATAGGATTAGAAATAATTGAACCTTTTTAGTTCATTTATCAGTCAATAAATTGCAGGCTGGAGGTATTTATTACTTCTTTTTAAAGCTTGTCGTTTATTTTTTATTAATTTCAACTTAATATATTGCATTTCTGTAGTGTATTGCTGTATATTGCCTCATTGGATGAGTGATCGTAAACGCAACTGCCGGGCAAAGTATTACTGGGTTTTTCAATAAATCCTCCGTAGTAGCACGGAGTCTGGAATTGTGCCCGGTATATGGCAATAGGCTTACCCTCTATTACATGGGGCTCATAACATAAATAGTGAAAAGTGGGTGTTACATTGTACAGTGGCATAATGTACACGTATGCCTATCCCTTCGGGGATAAAAGGCGTGATATTATGTTATGCTGTATATTGTGTTCACTACACTTTAATTATAAATGAAAAACATAATTAAATTGTCACCTTATTTATTCCACAGTTAAATAGTACATACATTAAACATAACTTAAACATAACTGGAACAAAAGCTCAATCTTAAATGCAGGCTTCTACCTCAAAACTCCCAGAAGTTCGGCAACGCAACTTGTAACGCTTGTGTTGTCGGGTCAGGTGATTTGTCGCTCGTCGCTCATATGCCAGCATCTGAGAGCCCCATCTATGTCAAGGGCTGAGCTGCACCTGCGACTTGGCAGGCCACATCGGAAACCTGGCCGGTTCGGTCGCCAACGGCTGTTCTTTGAAGTATGCATGATTCAATGCGGCGTCTGCTGTCATCCTCCTCGCGGGATCATACAGTAAAAAGTCTTGTAGTAGAGACAGCCCATCTTTAGAAACTAAATTAATATTTATCTTTTCCCGCAACCTACCTGTTGTATATTTCTTAAAAGTAGTACTATCTACAGGTAACTCACTGAATCCGGGCCAAGTTGCGTCTGTAGGTGTTCCTAAACCCTCGAAAATTCTATTTATCTGATCCAATTCAGATGTTCCGGGAAACAGTGGCCGCATAGTAATCAATTCAGCAAATATACATCCTACACTCCACATGTCAATCGGAGTAGAATATTCATTAGAAAGCAGCAGCAGTTCCGGGGCACGGTACCATATAGTACCAATGCCCGGCGTGTATTGGCGAGGTGGCAATTCATATTGTCGGGCCAATCCGAAATCTGCCAGCTTTAGCACACCTTTATACGACAGTAAAATGTTACGGAGCTTTAGATCCCGATGGAGGATCCAATTTTGATGAAGATGTTGTACTGCGCACAGCAGTTGTGTCATTAGGCACTTCACGTGACACGGTGAAAACAATTGTCTGCTTTTGCGCACGGTATCCATGTAACTTCTCAAATCATGAGGGACGTACTCCATTTCTATGAATACTTCCTCCATGTTGGAGCCTACCACTATCTCCCGCCCTGCGACAATGTTCGGATGTTGAACTTTCAGCAATATTTGTAACTCTCTCATAGCTGCAATGTAAAATCCTTCATTCCGATTGTCTGTTAGGATTTGTTTGAGAGCAACTACTTCGTTTTTTTTCTGATCCCGAACTCTGAACACAGCTCCGTAGGCCCCTTCTGCAATCTTATTCAAATATTGGAACTCCTCAAGAGATCGTCTGCTCTGAAATTCCAAGCGGAAAGGAGGTGGAGGTTTAAAAGTTTCATGTGTTTCTAGCCCCTCGTTGCAGTTCTTATCCTGGTGATCCTTTTTCTCTCTTCTTATAACATTGTTTATATACTTATTTTTAGCGAAGACTTTTAGGCTACTTTTCTCCCGATGTGTGTTCTGAAGTACATCTTGAGTTGACGTGCCTAGCGGGGACTCAACACTGTCTCCAACTCCATTAGACGCGTTGGAAATAATTACAGAACTCATGATTTCAATAATACTTAACAATCACTTCACAATGTGTAGTCACTGAATATAGTCTAAACTGTAAGTGTGCACGTTCTTGAAGATCTTCCCTTATATAGCCCGTAGGCCCTGAGCATTTCTTTTGTTCCCTAAACCGGGTTCGACCATTATTAGCAATAATTGTCAAATTATCAGATAAGGATAGTATAACAATAGGGCATTAACAAATACCAAAGACTCGTTGTTTAGAACGTTTAGAACGTGGTAATTATGACAATGTGAACATAACCTATTTGCAGAAATAAATATCGTTTCATTTCATAAGACACCAAAAAATATGTTTCCCACGCATCCGAAGAGACTTTGTCGCACTGTAAAATTTACTTTATCAGAACTTCTGTTATCATTAAAATGTTTTCTGTATCTATGTTCTTGGAGATCCTTCATTATATAGACCTTTTTAAAATTAGTTCCCTGTTTGTTGCATTCTGAAAAATTCTTCTTTTTCATTCGGTAATTCGGTATAATTACCTAATGTTCTAATTAGGAAATATATAATTATACCCGATTCGGTATCAAGTATCGCATAGAAAGCGAATTCTTATTTTTCATTGTTACTCTTACAAGAATTTGTATATTAATTTTTATTGTTATGTGGCCCGTCGTCTGCTCGTTTGTCAGAAATCAGTTTGTTAGATTTTTTAAAAATGACCACGTGTCTATTTATTGAAAAACAAATGAAGGCTTCGTGCTTCTGTTTTTAGTCGTCTGAAGTCGGTGAATGAATCGAGCATCTCGGGAAAGTTTAAAGCTAGCATAGAGTTGAACGAAATGCTCAAAGATAGGTTTTATTCTACTAACTTCAAACCCATATGACTTGCACATGTCTTGTGACACCTTTCCTTCTTTCAAGCAAACCTCTCCCCACCAAAGTTCATGATTCGATTCAAAGGTTCCAAAAGAAGTCTTGACTTCATATTATAAGTCAATAATCATCTTTAAACATTAAGAAATAAGATCGGTTACTATATTCCGCGGCTTGGCTTAGTTTATAAAAGTTCAGATTCAAAGTGCATCGAAGCGTAAATTTAAATTATTTACATAAAGAGTTCGCAAACTAATATCCGCAATATTAATATAAGGACATTAATTATTTGTACGTAATTAGCAACTAGAATGAAACGACTGCATGGCATTAAGTTTGCGACATATTAAAACTATATTTTAAACAATGTTAAAGAGCATTTAATGACATTCTGAATTATGCACGACACATAATAACTAATCATTAAAAATTGCAATAAATAGTCAGCCATTTGTTAAAATCGATACCCTTTTCTGAGAAATTTTAACGAAGTTAGAACTAATTCATTAATTTTACTATAAAAAATATTGTTTCCCTGTTTCTGTTCACTTGCGCCATTTAAGGTGTTTAATTAATATAGATGATATGATATACATTGTATAGAGACATAAAATAAAATAAAATGGAAACTACATAACATATTTTAACATCAAAATAAGTTTATTTTAATTGTTCATTTTTTTTTTTAAGGAACGTAACATAAAACAATGTGATTCAAATTATAACAGTTAATTTTTATTTCATACAAATTTCAGTTATACAAAGATAAAGGTATTATAATAATTAATAACACAGTTATGTATATAAAACATACAAATTGCAAGCAGGACATATTATTATTTACAAACTTAACTACAAAATATATTTATATTTTATTTGAGCGTTGTCCGATGTGCTGATGGAAGAACGTGAACCAGAGCTGAGAACTTCACGCGTACGTGACCGCTCAGCGGGCGGGCAACGTCAAGAAGATGACCGTCTCCATGTGCCAAAGTGGCTACAACGTAATTAATTCAGCGAATATACACCCAACACTACACATGTCGACAGGATCGAGGACAGAGGATGTTTTGCTATGTGGCAGTAGTTCAGATGCTCGGTATCAGCGTATCCTTACACCCGTATATTGTTGATGAGGGCATGCACATTCTCAGGCCATCCCAATATCTTTCCCTTATCTATCTATAGATCAGCGAGCGGGCGACTTCAGGAACATGGCTGGCTCCATCGCCACCGGCTGCTCCTTGAAGTATGCGTGCTCTAAAGCAGCGGCTGCTGTTGTTCTTCTTGCAGGATCGTAGGCTAAAAGACCTTGTAGTAAACATAGTCCGTCGTCAGAAAGCGATTTCTCACTTATCTTTTTACGCAACCCGCCCGGTGGATAGTCGTTGAACACGATGTTTCTTACCATTGGTAATGCGCTGTAACCGGGCCAAATCGTGTCTGAAGGCGTCCCCAGATCCACAAATATTTTAGTTATCTGATCCAACTCACATGTGCCCGGAAACAATGGCCGCAAAGTTATCAGTTCAGCGAATATACATCCCACACTCCACATGTCGACAGGCGCGGAGTATTCTTTCGAAAGCAGCAGTAGTTCAGGCGCACGGTACCATCGCGTAACTACGTCCGGCGTATATTGCCGAGGAGAGAAGTCACATTCTCGGGCCATCCCAAAATCTGCCACTTTTAATACACCTTCATCGGTCAACAAGATGTTACTGGTTTTTAGATCGCGATGTATCACATGATGGTTGTGAAGATGTTGTACAGCGCTTAGCAGTTGCGTCATTAGGCATTTCACGTGTTCGACTGAAAACATTTGCTTGTTACCTTTTATTGTCTGCATGAAAGTTTTTAAGTCGTAATCAACGAGCTCCATGACTATAAACACGTGCTCGTTTCTGGAACTCGACGCTATTCCTCGGCCTGCGACGATATTGGGATGCTGCATCTTCAGTAGTATTCCAAGCTCTCTCCGAGTGGCGATGGAGAATCCTTCCTTTTCGTTGATTTTTTTAAGTTGTTTGAGGGCTACCAATTCCCCCGTCCGTCTGTCCTTGGCTCCATGGATAGTTCCAAATGCTCCTTCATCAATTCTGTAGAGATATTGGAACTCGTCTACAGATCGACAACTCTGGAACGCTGGGTGGAAGGGCGAATCATCATCAATAAATTCGTGCTTTTCGTTGTTATTCCTCTTCGATGTCTGGTCTTTGTGATTATTTTTTTCTTTCCGTATTTTGTTCTTGTATATTCTGTTGATCGCTGCCTTTTTTATACCACATTTGTTCTTTTGTGATTTCCGAAGTGAAACCCCAACTGACGTAGTCAAATTACTTTCAGAAACCATGGTTCAGAAGTACTTAACAATCACTTCACAAGTTGTAGTCACTGTATGCAAGCTGAACTGTAAGTGTGCACGTCCTTGAAGATCCTACCTTATATAGTCCGTAGGCCCTGAGCATTTCTTTTGTTTACTAAACCGGTTTCGACAAATATTTTCAATACTTGTCGTATTATCAGATAAAGATCTTATAACAATAGGTCAATATCAAATAACAAAAAGCTAGTTCGTTAGAACGTGGTAATTAAGACACTAAATAATATTTTTCCCACGTATCCGAAAAGACTTTGTCGCACTATCAAAGCTATTACTTATTTTCTTTAAATTTTATTTTTTTAGAACTTACGTTATCACTAAAATATTTTTTGTTTGTATATTCTGGAAGATCCTCCATTATATAGACCTTACTATATACTTGCCTGATTGTTGTGTTCTCAAAAATTTTTCTTTTTCATTAGTTAATTCGGTTTAAGTATCTAATGCGCTAATTAGGTAATTAATAATTATACCTGATTTGGTATCAAGTATCGCTTAGAAAGCGAATTATTATTTTTCATCGTTACTATTACAAGATTTTTATTTATTAATTTTCAGTGTTATGAGTCCCGTCGTCTGTTCGTTTGTTAGAAATCAAATATTGCATCTTAAATTTGATTTACTTGCCGTTTATTGATTGAGCTTTTCTAGGTAGCATGCATTTAGAAATCGGATGATAAATCAATATATTAGTATTGTAACTTTAGTGAGAAATGCTAAATAAATTATTATGTTTTCGGCTTACTTACGTAATAATTTGTCGAGGACCTCGACTAGTTTCAAGCCATGCTAGAGGCTCATATTCATGAGCAGCATTTCGCGACCTGGGACGCGGCGCAAAACATAATAATTTATGAATCGATATTATTATGACAATGAGCTAATACGATGTTTGAACCAGAAAATAGCAATTAGAACTCCGATGCACCCGAAACCTATACTATTGTGCGCAGCAATAAGGTAGAAATTCGTGTGACTTTTGTTGTAACTACTACTGACCGTTATTATCTGTCAAAGTAATATATTTACTGTTTAAATGCATATTTTAAATGAAAACATATATATAACCCCTGTCCCGTCGTGTGTTTTTTTTCAAAAATAGCCACGTGGCTATTTATATACAAACAAATATAGGCTTCGTGTGTTCGTTTGTAGTCATCTGAAGTCGGTGAATATAAATCAAGCATCACGCTAAAGTTTTAAGCCAGTGTGTAGTTGAATACTGTTATGTTGGTGGATTATTAAATTATAGTCGGATTTATTTTACTTGGACTGCCTCGTTGGCCGAGTGGTCGCAAGTGTGACTGCCGGGCAAGGGATCTCGGGTTCGATTCCCGGGTCGGGCAAAGTTTTATTGGGTTTTTAAAAATCTCAGTAGTAGCACGGAGTCGGGAAATATCCCCGTATTTGGCAATAGGCTCACTCACCATCTATTACATGGGACTCTTAACATAAATGGTGAAAAGTGGGTGTTACATTGTACAGTGGCATTAAGGGCTGTAATGTGCACCTCTGCCTACCCCTTCGGGGATACAAGGCGTGATGTTATGTTATGTTATTTTACTTGGATTTATTATAATAATGTACAGGGCGCACGACCTGTACACACACTAGATTATGACGGGCAGACAACTACGTTAATAACGAGTGTCCTACCTTATATAAGAAAGAAAGAAAGAAAGAAAAATCATTTATTCGACAGTAGGCACGCACACAGATACAAAAAAAATACAAAATTAAAAAAGAAAATAACAAATAAATAAACTTATTTAT